CCTACAAAGCTCTCAACAACCTAGCTCCATCTTATATTACAGATCTTGTTGTCCCATATTTTACTAACAGAGCACTTCACTCTCAGACTGCAGGTTTACTTGTGGTTCCTAGAGTTTCCAGCAGCAGAATGGGAGGAAGATCTTCCAGTTCTCAGGCTCCTCTCTTGTGGAACCAACTTCCAGTTTCTGTCCGTGAGGCTGACACATTGTCCAGTTTGAAGACTTTCCTTTTTTATAAATCCTATAGTTAGGGTCGGCTTGTTATGCTGCTATAGGCTTAGACTACTAGAGGACAAATTGACCTCATTTCCTTAAATTAAGTTTTCATTTGATACTATTTCTATCATAACATGTGATTCTTGACCTGCCATTGTGTATCTATTCCTACCAAACCCAGCCGGTCGAAGCAGATGGTCTCTTGTCCTGATCCTGGTTCTGCTAAAGGTTTCTTCCTCATGAGGGAGTTTTTCTTTCCACTGTCGCCTTCATGCTTGTTCAAGATGAGAGTTCAGTGATGGAGTTAAACTCAAAGCTGCTCCTCAGATAAATAAAGTCAAACGTTCTTTAATGTGTGCACAGGGTCCCAGTTACATCCAACAAAGTATAAAATGTAAAATATAAACAGTTATTATGGTAAGATCAAAGAGATGAACTGAGAAGTTAAAAAAATGTTAAAAATACTCTAAGCACTTGTCCTACAAAAACAAGACGCCGAACAGCAGCACGAAACAAGGAAGTTGAATCGGCAAACTTCCGATAACAGGCCCACCTTCTCCAACCTCTGTGCCACCGTCCCTGCACTGGACATGTCCAGCCCATGTCAGCCCGTTTTCTCCAACTTCATCACTTTCATCAGGTCAAACTGTAACCACGGACATCTCTTAAGGCACAATGAACACTTCCTGTTTCAGGACTGCAACACAGGAAGTGAAGTCTGAGGACGAACCTCAGGTCTTTCACTAACCACGAGAACTGTGCTCGCTGACAGAACTTTAGTGAAACATAATCCCAAAGTATTACTGTAGTAGTACTACAGATCTGCTTCAGTGTCGCAACAATAAAACTCACATAATTCACTCTGTTCAGCAAATACTTTTATTGTGAAAGGCAACCATTGAGTTTTCAGGACAAAAGCCGTGATACTGACGTTGAAGGAGTTAAAGTGTCTGAATTCATCATCCGAGCAGAAACAAAGAACGTTAGAGGTCAAGACCTTGAAATGTTCTGAGACTGTGGTTCAAACGTTTCATGTTTAGAGTAAAAAAAGTATTCTGAAGGAAAACCTTCAGTGTTTCTGCAGCTCCGACGTGTTAGGAGAAAAATCATCTGCAGCTTTAAAAACTACAGGAAGTTGAAAATAAACTACAGGAAATGCAAAGCAGGACCTATTGATGTTTGTGGACCAGCGTCTTGTACCGGATGTGACTCTGAGGACGGCACATCTGAAGGAAACTGAGTTTCAACTGACAGTAAATTAAATAAATAAATTAAAAGATCAAAATGTTTAAAAGGTGAACTATTTCAGTCATCTGTTCAAAATCAAACTGATCCATCATTTCTCATGTACTACAACTCCCAGAGTGCACTGCTGCAGCTCAAACTCTGGCTGAGGCTTCTGGGTAATGAAAAGTGACTTGACTGGTCCCAGTTAGAGAGGGCGGTACTGGATCAGAACCAACACCAGCAACTCCCAAGTTTATGTCAAAACACCATTAGGAATGGTTCCACGCGGTTCTACGCTCTAACAAGAGAACTCTCTCTGGTTCCAGGAGGTTCTACGCTCTAACAAGAGAACTCTCTCTGGTTCCAGGAGGTTCTACGCTCCAACAAGAGAACTCTCTCTGGTTCCAGGAGGTCCTACGCTCCAACAAGAGAACTCTCTCTGGTTCCAGGAGGTTCTACGCTCTAACAAG